GTCATTTGTATATCTGGAGTGTGTAACGAAAATAATTTCCCTCTGGGATTATTAAAGTATTTCTGAATCTGAATCTGAATCTGAATATTGTAATATTCTATGTTCTTATTGAAGATATACACTAGTTGCTAGTTTATTAGGTACAACTGGGTAAAACTAATGCACTTTAATACACCAGCATTCGTTATTTTTGTTGAAACTGTTTTTATAAAAAGAAGTTGATTTAATTTTCTGGTGCTTTTGGGGATTGTAGTTTATGGTTTATTTACTCTACTCTGAACTGTCTCACAACACACATACAAAGACCAGGTTTTACTACATTAGAGAGGCATAATCAGCCTCCTTTTATAAACCATAAACTTCACTTAACTTCTCACTTTAGCGTGTAAATGTATTTATTTTTTTTGCCACAATACTAATTTATCCTAAAAAAAGTCACCTTACTGTCATTGTATACATTAATACTTTTATATAATTGTAGAACATAGTAATACTTCTCTACAGTGACTTTATGTTGAACGCTAAATGCCTTCACTGCTCCTATTTCTAGTGGTACCTCCTGCTAACTTGACGCAACTCAGACGAACCAGGGAGATGCAGCAAATCGGTGTAACGGCGCATGCGTCTCCGAAGAGCGGCGACTTTTGACGATGATAGCCGAGACCACCACCCACTCTCCCACCGAGCAGCATGGGTGAGCGGGCAGAGGCGCTGCGGGCCTGTGGGAATGTGACACTTTAATGTAAACACGTGTGGAGGCTCATTTGATTTAATTAATGAGCTGAAAGTGAAACAATAATCACCAGACATGTTTTTTTCTTTATTTTTTCATTACAGTTAATAAACCAGTTAATTTCACTGGCGTCATTCCACCCATATGATTATACTGGCAGTAGATAATGTGCGTGCTTTATGCAACATGAAGGGTTTATTCCAGGACACAGTTGATTTAAATTGTGTGGGATCCGAAGTGTATTTTAAGACATGTTAACGTGTAGAAATGAATAAATAAAGTCTAAATTACCAGAAACATTTGAAAAATAACATTGCACTATTGCAAAATGTCTGCTGTATATTCAATATTGATGTGGGTGAACTTTTCACTCTGGAAACCACGAGCTACAAAACCCTACATCAACAGCGTGTACAACTTGTAGGTCGATTAAAATCTCGTGGGAAACTATAACTGCGCATGTTTCTTGAATAATTAAGTGTACAGTGCTGTGCAGCCGCCACAGGTGACTGTGCAGCTCTGCAGCTTCGCCACTCAGCGGCGCTGTTGCTCTGTGGTTGAGTCTCCTCCTGCAGGTCGCTGGCTGCTCAGGGTCTGTCGCTGTCCATGGTGCTGGTTTTAATGAGGCTGCAAACAAACGCATGTGGACGCTCTCCGCAGCGAGAGATCCCTTTAAACTCATCATTATACAATATAACACCATGCAGCTTATATATGTTATATGGCATAAAGAGTTTAAGATCAGAGTCACCACCCAGGAAAGAAACATCCTGGTTCTTATGAATAGAAAACCTTATAGACAAAGTACTGCAGGAAACTGTCGCATTGTGTTTCCTCTCAGCTGTGGTGCTTTGTGGGACTTCCTGAGAGCTTTGTGGTAGTTTGCTGTCGATTGTGATGGTATGCTTTGAGTTACTGTGGTGCCACCTTGTGGTAACCACACCTGGTTGTTAAGCTGTGTGTGGCTGCATAGCACAGGATCTCTGCCTTTTTAAAGGTAAACTTATGACTGTTATCTACCTCTGTTACCCAGTTATCTGTGGCCTGCTATTGAATAAGGTCAAGTTTTTTTACAACACAGAATTATAAGTATAGGTTTTATGTAGAGTTTAAGGTACAAACATCACAGCAGAGGTGAAGAGGTGTCACTGAATTGTATATAAGAATACAAAATACATTTAATTGTTTGGGGCTCACAGACTTGCATACAGCACCGTCATTCACCACTGGAAATGATTGAAGACTCTTTAAACTTGAATGAAATGTATCTTGTAAGAAATCTCAGCACCTGCTCAGGTGATCATTAGTCGTTTTCAACCCTGCACAGAGCCATTTTATAGTCATTTTGTACAATTAAACTCTAGCTATGACTCTTTGTGCCTCTTTAACCAATCAAGTCCTCTGAAACTCTTATATAAATGTCACATGACCACACTTAATTCTTTTTAGAATGGAACAAAATGCTCTATTTTAAGCACACCTGTATTAAACTGAGCGGTTCATATGTTAAAAATAAATGCACACCTCTCTTTGCCAGCGTGGGGTATAGCACTCATAACATGAGGGTTTCCTGCATGGCTCAGTGGGTAGAGCACGACACCGAAACACAGCCGGGGATAAAGGTTTAATTAGCTACAGGTTCAGCTCTTTTCATGGCACCGTGAAGCACTTTGAATAAAAGCTGCCTCTGATTGTCAGATGTTTGTAAGAGAAAAGAACATAATAGCAGAGAGCTGGAGACCTATACTGTTATTATCAAATTCCCCCAAATTACACAGCTAGGTGTGTAATCATCAGAGGGGATGAATGCTAAGCAATTCAGTAACTTTTACCAGGGGGATTGTTGTACTGCTGCTCTGTGGTTTGAAAGAAAGGTTCACTCAGAGGGAGCTGGATGCTATTTAAATGTAGAAGTGAAACAACGGCTGCATTTAAACACCACCATTGTTTTTAAGGCATTTTTAAAGCAGAGTCTGGTCCACTAGAGACTTCATAAAAGTCATTAACCACGTGGTTTAAGTACCAATAAGACAATTGTCCACACATTAGTATACTATTTTAATAAATAAATAGCAGCATCACACAGAAAAAAAAAGAAAATATACATTGTGTGGATGATGGCGTAATTGTTGTATAAACTTAAGAAGATGTGTCGTAGACAAACATTCACAATTAAAATGGTATAAAAAAATAAAAATAAAAACAGCCACTGCATAACAGAAGAAGGTTCAACACATAAAAAGAGAGAGCTAACCTACGAGCGCCGGATCATACAAGAGCGAGACAAACCAGACAACCGATCTGCACTGATGCAGACGAGCATCAGAGACACCTCTGGTTCACGAGTCAGTGCTCAATGCAGGGAAGGTGCACTGGAGAAGTCGGGTTTGCCAAACTCTTGAACAACCTTCAGCTCTGGCTATTTCTCAGAGCCGTTTAGTGACAGAGTTGCTAGAGAGAGAGAGAGAGAGAGAGAGAGAGAGACAGAGAGAGAGTTATCCGTCTTCCCAAACAGAGTTATTTGGGAAGACGGATGAGACAGCTGCAGGGTTAAAAGACAGCTTGGGAAAGAAAGTTTTCTTGCCTAATGAAAGCCAGCACATTGACTTTTAACTTTACTTTTTTAACATTTAGACGTTAAAACTGTCGGATCTTGTGAGTTCTTTTGAGTCAAACATATCACTTCTAAATCTGGCATTTAACAGAGAGGAGGGACTGTAGAGGGAGAAAAATTCAAGGAAAAATCCACCTTTTATATCTCTCACATTCTTTGACTTGCTATGAATGATTAGTGACTTATTTTGTGGTTGACAGTAAGTGCTGCAATTTATGCATTAAGGTACAAAGAACTTGTAGGAATAATTTTGAGAAATACACTTTTTAAGTTTGATCAGAGGATTGATAAATATGAGCAGTTGTTTAGCTTAGCATAAACACTGGAAGCATAGGGAAACAGTTAGCCTTGTCCACAGGTAAGAAAATCTGCCTACCAGCATTTCAAGATCTCACTAATTAACAACATTTCTATTGTTTGTTAAATTCATACATGTGCAAAAATGACAGGTTGCGGTTTTACGGAGGGTAATATTTTGAAAATAGTTCCAACACAAAGCTCCCCATAAAACCACCACTTGTCAGTTTTAGGAGAGGAAACAAAAGATATATAATGTGTTTGACCTTGGAAGAGAGCCAGGCTAGCTGTTTCCCCCTGCTTCCAGTGTTTATGCTAAGCTAAGCTAACCGTCTCCTGGCTCATATTGGGAACAGACAGACATGAGATTGGTATCGTTCGCTCTCATCTCAAGTCTCGACAAGAAAACGAATGAGTGCATTTCACAAAATCGAAATTTCTGATGTAGCTTCACTGGAAATACAAATTTATATTGATCCATACTTTTTGGATTTTTCCTTCAAGCTTGTGCATATGCTTGATTTGTTGGGCACGAAACATTATAGAGTTAGACCATTTGTAAATGCACTACATAATTATCTGGAGTAGTTCTTACAAGAAGCCTAGAAACAAAAAGTAGTCCTGGAGGAGGAAAATCAGGCCTCCTCAGATGTATTAAACTGAAACTCTGTCAATAAACGGCTCCAACTATTTCTATACACACCAGACCCAGATCGAATTATTTGTTGAAATCCCTCCAGATACTTTCTCAGAGTGATTGCTTTCATCTTTCTGGACTGCGAGCCGGACAGGATTGGCATCTTCAGGGACAATCTGATTCAATCCATTGTGTCGGACACAATCGATAAAAAACCACAGAAAAATCTCAGACAGCAATTTGAGCCAGGCCTGGTAAACACACAGGTACACGGGAAACATACAGTTATTACATTGCGACATACTGAGTTGGTTGGCCTGGCTTTAGCTCTTTGCTTGCCCACACATTGGGTGGATCCAAAATGACCCATTCACCTAAGTTCAGAGAGTCCTCTCTTCTCCATTTTTTTTTTCAGTTTTTCTTTTGTTTATGTTTGTTTATGTTGCTATTTTGCAGATGAAATGCCTGCAGGAATTGCAAGCTGTTCACAATGTGCATTTTTGTTGATTGCTCTTTGTTCTTTCTTACCTTAATGCACTGCTTCATTCCTTCAAACTTTTTATAAGAAAGAACAAAAAAAGAAAAACTAAGTGAGGCAGAGAGGACCTTTTAAACATCACTTCAAACATGCACAATATTTGTAGGCCAAACCTTGGTGCTAGTTTGCCAACATTAGCTCATGTAGACCTCTCCTTGTGGAGAGAAAAGTGGTGCGACTGACCACCGTGTAAGTCTGTAGGATACAAATATTGGATAAATTACACAGAGGTGCATAAAATTAGAATGAAGTGACTCCCAGGTCTTCTGTTTCATTCTAACTGTATGCAGAGGTGGCTGCAGATTTGATTGGTCCACTGCTCACTTTCACGTTTGCTCTTTGACCTTGAAGGGGACATTGTGGGTAAAAATGGGGTTTACATTCAGGTGTTTGTAATTCTGGCTGTCTTGTTGCTCAAGGGATATTATTACTGAATTAAATATTGATCACTGGTGGAAAAGTATATCTTGCCTGCAAGGAAAACTCAGAAATTAATCATTCAGTGTTTGGCTTTTTTTTGGCATTTAAAGGGACACTGCAGCAATTTAGTATTGCACTTCCATAAAGTTAAGGGAGTAAAAAGAGACAATTTAAACAAAGATTGGTCAAAATCAAACCAGCAGAGGCTTAGATATCTTGACTTTTAATCTCTAGTATAGATCAGTCTCCAAAAAAAACTACAATTCCCATAATGCAACTCAATAGCATCTTTCATTAAACCCCCTTCCAGCCTCCTAAATGCCTTCATCTTTCAAACTTACAGTTTCAAACTAGGCTTTCTGTATTAAAAAAAAAGTCTCAAACTCACCACAGAATATTAGTACCTCAAATGTGAATGTGTAAAATTGCTGGAGTGCACCTTTAAGTGATGCCTTAAAACGTCCCTTTTCTAAATGTAGTTTAGACACAACCTTCACGACACAACCATTCAGCTTTATTGAGCTCAACCTACAAAGTAAATCTCTAAATACATACGAGTTTCAGGTTTTATCTCCTATATTAGCTCTTAAGAGGTGAGTTTGTTGTTAAGAAATCAAAATTTGCCACCATGACTTGTTCCCTTTTCAAATCCACACAACATTTAATCTTTTTCTAAGGCAGTGTATTGCAGATATTTCAGCTGATGGAGACGCAGTGTGGAGGAATTAGGATGTCAGATGTCGATAAAATGTCAGGGGGGAGGGAGAGAAAATCAGCGTGACAGGGGCTGTGAGGGTTGGTGACCTGTCTTGATGGAGTCAAGGGTCTGTCTCTTAGCGTATCGACTTTATGTCCGTTTTATGCGAGAGATTGAAATCTAAAGGTGTTTGGTCTTTTGAGTCGCACTCAGTGTTATGGCGCCGGATTGTAAAGCAGTCACAGATCAAAGATTTAAAGTTTGTGACCATCGGGTGGAGATTTTGGCAGGCTTTGCTCTCTAAAAAAATATCATCGGAGCATACAGGCAACAGTGTTTAAACCTAAAGCCCATCACCTAAATATAAGCATAAATCTTCTTTCTGTCCTCTTTGGCTTTCACTGTGCTGTCTTAGTAAATTCTGGCCCGTAGCATGACTGGAAATCATGCAGCTGAGGGGTTTTTGGAGGGAAAAGGACTGATGTAATGACTGACCTTGAATAAAAATCCATCAATTCCCAAAAAGTAAATGACGGAGAACTTCTTGTTCAATCAGGAACGTGTCAGAGGAGAGAGAGAGACGACGCTCTGAATCTGAAACAGCCCACATTTATACCCGCAGATGATGTAAATATTCGGATATGTCATCTGATAATACGATATGTATATTAAGTAGCTTGCTGACAGCTGGATAGATGTGTGGGACAACAAATTTAAAGATGGATAAACTGAATTTACCTTACATACATGTGCAATCGGCGCTTTAATTTGACTCAAACCTTAAAATCCTTTATTAGTTTCCCTTTTCTTATTCATCAGTGAAATGGATTTACTGCATGTGGTGAAACCAGTAAGAGCTGGTTGGTCAAATGTTATCCCACTGTTGGGGAAAATAAAAGGTATGTGTGATTTGATCACAGCTGAGGAAGATCTTGGAGTTGTTTTATGAGGCTTAACAGACCAAACGAAAGATAGCAAGCTGTGGCTGATGTCATAAAATCTATATATTTTGTTGTTTTTAAGAATTATATCTTAGGAACCTTTTGTGCACCGTTTTATTGAAAACTTTTACCTTTTACCTGCTCCCTTTTATTTTAAATTTATTGATTGTTCTCAGTAAAAACCTATTGGAAGTTGGGGCTTTTATTCTTTCCAAAGTGGTTGTATTGATCAACGCAAGCAAGAGCCTGACAGTTGCTTTGGACTAAAGGCCTGCACCATGCTTTTAGCTCATTTTAGCCACCTTGTTCAATCCAAAGGGGAAGCATCCTTTCTGCGTCATGCGACCACCAGATGGCACTGTGAGTCCACCAGAGACCAGTGTGGTCGTTGTACATTCCTTCATCTCGTGTCCTTTCCAGACAAACTTCTCACTGCAGCCTTGAGAAAGTTTCCTTTAGAGAAAAATTCCATTTCTGCCGGCTGAATAGTTTGATTATACATGCTGGAAAGGTTCATTCAGCTATATTTTTTGACTGTTGTTATCAAGCTTGACCGGCACAAAAATAGATTTGGTTTAGTTTGCTTTGGTGTGGAGAGAATCCACATAAAGCTTGGACTGCATTGTGACTGTGTGAAGGCTTGAAGTCGTAGTTTGACCCCGTTGACTTCAGCGGCTGGCGCTTGACTCTTTAACCTGCATCAGTGGGACTCCATTGAGGGCCTTTTGACTTCATACCAGGTTAATAATGACAATAAGCTCTTCACTGACTGTCTCTTGTCATGTATGCTTCGTCCCTGTCTGGATCTCAGCTGGTACCTTAGTCCCCATGAAGTACACCACATTTTCTGCTGCGGAGCACAGCTTAACGCTTTTATTCTCCATTTGTGGAATGAAAACCAACAATTTGACATCACATAGAAAACAAATACGTCTGAAATGTTGGCTTTCATTTCAAAACTGTTGTGGAAAATCACACCTTTTCATCTCAGAGGTTAAAATCTGACTTCTCTAACGAGTTGTAAGTAGTGCACTTCAGTGTGGGGTTAAGGCTCCTCAGAGACTAGTCCTTTTACAATAACAGCACCCACTTACATCCAATAAAAAAACGCTGTAGGCTCCCAGCACCAGCTCATCGAAAACGTTGCTCAGCCCAGCGCCTGAAGGTTAAAAAGACGACATAAAACAACAAAAAGAACGCAATCACACGCTGCTTGTGTGTTCTCTGGAGGCTGGGCTGTAGCTGATGAGAGACAGCTCCTGCTCCACCTCAGTTTCCGGCTCCATTTCCGAAAGCATGCCGATGTTGTGGCATTCGGAGAGGCTCTGTGACACTATTCCGATTTGTGTCTCGTCATCTGTCATGTCCTCTGGGTCAACTGTCAGCCTCCCGTTATCCCCCCTACCACCGTTGCGACAGTTACTATTGCGGTCCACGCCTGCTTTCCCATGACTGCCCATCAGGAGAGGTGTCACAGCGTGCGACGGGCATGGTGGGGGGACCAGGAGGGTTTTGCCACTCTGTCCAGCTGCGTTGGCCCCCACTTTGTACTGGCACCTGATGTAGCTGGAGAACGCTCTCCTGTAGGTCTTATTGAAGAGGGTGTAGACCAGAGGGTTGACTCCAGAGGAGATGTAGCCTACCCAGACGAAGACGTTGAGGAGGTCGTGAAGTAGCGACTCGTTGCAGGAGCCCTGGCACAGGACGGAGGTGACGTTGGTGATGAAGAAGGGACACCACATGATAAGGAAGAGGAAGAAGACGATTCCCAGGACCTGAAGATACAAAGAGCAAAGAGTTAAAATAATGAGTTAAAATAATGAGTAAAAACATGTACTTTCTTCTATTTAGTAACAATTAAAATACATTTCTCAAGTGCTTAAGCTTCTTGAATGCTCTCTAATTGAAATACATACATCATACATAGATTGATGTCTTTTAATATCCTTGTTAGTTTGTGACTTCTACTGTTATTTTCATTTCTGATATAGGTATAGAGTGCTTTGGTCTCCATCCAATATGAATTTAAATTCAGTGAAGCCACCGCTGAGCACCCTCTGAGCACTCTGTGACTCCGGCAAAGCTTCAAACTTTTTTGTGTCTGGCAGAACTTGATAACATAAGGTCTTCTAACCCTTTTAGAGAAGACACTTAAAAGTATCTGCACCAAACAGCAGAGTTAACAACAAGCTGGTGGACATACTGGAACATCTAGTGGCTAAAGATCCAACTTCATCAGGTCACCGTGCATGTAATTTAAAAATGTTGATACTGATACCATGATATGATCTCTTACTCATTTTTTTCAAGACCTTAATTTGAACAAAAGACACCGAACTTAAACGCATGTTGACAAGCAGTGTTTCACAGGGTTTCATCAGTGATGAGTATAGTTGGGTGTGGTCACAGGTGTGCTTTGTTGCACCTGCAAACACACCCCTCAGTGATGTCACACTGTACTTCTACATCACTGCAGCAAGATGAGAAGTTAAACCAAAAAAAAGATTTCCAGATGCCTTTAAGTTGTTGTTGTTTTGTTTTAACAAAAGCAGCCACTCAAGAAATGTGTCATATTAAAATACAGTCAAAAATCAAACATGATTGAAAATGGTTTGATAAAAGAATAAATGAAGAATCTTGCATTCAATGCCAGGGGTAATTTATTACCTGACACATTTTGGTTTAGGGTTCAATACCCACTCCTACTCCTGAGTGCATTTATCTACAACATGTCTGAGAGCACTGAAACAAGTACACCTTAAATCACCTGACAAGCACTCAGCTCCACTCTTCACTCTCACCTTGGAGGCACGCCTCTCATTCTTTATAGCCTGCATCATCCCCCGTCGCCCATGGCAACCTGACGTGTCGCTCCGCGATGGCCCCGCTGCTGGGGAGCTGAGCTGAGACGCCACCTCAGAGCTGGGAATAATGCTTATGCTGTCTGGCGTCGAGGTACTGAGTAGTATGCTGGGCTCTGCTCCTTTCAGACAGCTCAAGGTGTTTCGTCTGCTCTGAGGAGGCGGGGGCTTTATCTCTGCGGGAGGGGCAAAAGAGGGATCACAACTTGGAATGCACAATTTTGTTTATGTCTAAAGTTTTTTTAGCTGTAAGGTGCAAAACTTAAGGATGCAATCTGTCTGCTATCGCCATGACTCCTTCTAACTTAGTTACCGAGAAAACTGCTGCAGCCGGGACAACAACCAGGCAAAAGCATGTCAGTATCCGTGTCAAGACTGCTGACATTTTGTAGGGTGGAGGATGTATGAAGAGGAGAATGTTTCACACCTTTCTCTGTTTGGGGTGCCAGAGGATACGGTAGAAAATAGGTAAAGACTGCCACATCATGCAATTTAATCTCTACTGGAGGAGCAAAGGCTCAGCTTGGAATCAGGAACCAACTCTATGTGCTGCCCAAATTGATGGGACAGATAGCTGCGGTCTGCTCAGCACCACAGCCGTAATATATTTACTGCTGGTGAATTAGCTGATAGTCTGCTTTTTTTTTTCTTGTTTGCCTCATCCAAAACGTCTGACCATTCAGTGTGGGAGAACTGACTTTTTCCTTCCTGCTTCTGGCCTGTCAAGCTTGTTCCATGCTGACACTGAATGTAATGCAATTTATAATGTTAACGAGCACCACACCAATCAAAATTCATAGCAATTGTTGTAACAATAGATCTTTATAATTTCATAAAAGGCAAAGAGGTAAAATAATTCTTAAGCTGTGGCTAGCGAGCTAATTAAGCTAACGTTAGCGGCATTAGTTGTTTGAACTTTTTGTATACATATATTATGCCAAAAGACTGAGGATAAAGCTAAATGTCCCAAAAACAAATCAACCATTGATAATTTTTGTAAAGGCTGAACAAAACCCCACCACCCTCTATACTGTTTAAATGCTATCGCTCTTACAACAGCCCCATACGCAGCGCTTTAATATGTGTAGGAACCCAAAGCTGAGAGGCCTGCCATGCCTAGTTATTGTTGCTAAGCTAAAAGTTGGTTAAAAATATCTGTTTGCTTTTTTGCAATTACAGACTTTTTATACTGTATGGTTGTAAGTCTTATAATATTCTTGTCATACCAATAACAAAAGTATCAAGTGGAGCCAAATAAAGATAAATGGAAAAAAAACAACTGCAGAGAAGGATAAGGTAAATGCACAGAGCGTACGACTGCTGGGCAGCAGTGGAGCAATTTTTCATAATTAAAATTTAGCAACACTTGGACCGCAAGAATTTATTCAACAGCAAAAGCATCAATCTGTTTTGTGCCTTGCTTTCATTTAGGGATTTCTAAGGCTTGTGGAAGGATTAAAATCTCTAGAACTGGAAAACAAGATGAAATACCAACATAAGGCACAACAGAAGGGTTGTAAGAATCTATCATAGCTGTTCATTAAACAAAAAAAAACCTATTGGTATTGCTGTTGAATAAATTCACATATTTACTATAACTTCCTTGATTAAAATATTTGTATGGGTGCTTTTTCTGTTAAAACAAACAAAATTATTTTTTATACCTTGTGAGTCTGAAGGAGCGAGTGTGTTGATCTGAGGAGTGGGGAAGGTGGTGGTTGGAGGCTGTAATGTATTTGTCATTGCTGTTGTGTGCAAAGGCTGCTGGGAGGAAGTCTTTGCCTCGTACAGGAAGACAGTGGCCTGCCTCTGGAGCACCTGTGGAAGATTGGGAGTGAAGGCAAAGAAGACAAAAGAAGAAGAAGGGTTGTGAATGCGACAAGAATAAGAAAAGGTAAAGTAAGCGTTTTCAAGGCACGAACCGACACGAGTACCTGTATGGTGAGGCAGTACGTCACCACCATGATGACCAATGGGATGAAGAAGGCCACGAAGGAGCCAATCAGCATGAAGCGCTCCTCGTTGAGGACACAGCTGCCGTTGACGAAGACCTTGTCTTCGTTGTGGAGGCCGATCACTGGGATAGGCATCGACACACCTAAAGAGAGAGAGAGAAGGGATAAAGGATTCAATATCTTTCATTTCTATTCATATCGATGAGAACTGCTCAATATTCTGTTTCTGTAACTTTATTTTGAAAGCTCCTTCTGATTGTTATAATATAGACTGATGTTGCTCATGGTAATGCAAACACATCACTTTATTTGTAGCCCAGGGTTTTTTTTAACATTACAGCTCAGTGATAACAACATAATAACCAGGTAATAGCCTAAACAATGAATTAATGTAGGATAACAATGGGGCAAATACATGAGGTTAAACAGGGTGAAATATCTAAATGTATATGAGGTAGAACACATCAGTAATTGCATATAAATTAGGTAACAGCAACTCATAATCAGGTTATATCTGTCTCAAAATGATTTTCTTGCGCCTCATTCTCCCCTCACTTCCTGTCACTCCCTGCTATCAAAATAAAAGCCAAAAATGTCCAAAAATAGGGAACGAAAGTCCTTGAAATTACAGAGTAAAAATTAGGTGGGTAATACAAAGGTGTTATGAAGAATAATCAGTTAATATAATAATATGGCAATATTCCAATAATAATGAGATCAATATTATGATCATAGTTTTTATAATATTGCTAGAATAATATTAGTACAATATGACAAGGAAACACAGAGAAATCACCATCGATAATTACAAGAAAACGATGCTTAAATTATTCAAAGCACAAAACTTATTTGTTTTAAAATAATAATATAAAAAGTCTTTTCAAATGGTGTTTTTTCCTGTCTGTCAGCAGCCTTGATTTAAACATGAACCATGAAGGCAACAACCATGAATCAGGGAGGAGAAAAAAAACACCTGTTTCTACTTAATTTAATGGTTAAATTAGTTACAAAAAACACAGAGGATCATTTCTGTAAATCACGGCTGGAAAATGAAAAATAATTTCCTCATGACCAACCCCCAAACACATTTGGGGGTTTTTAAAACATCACATGAATTCATTATCCCCCAATTTTGAAAAATTAGGCATACGGAAGCGAGAATAACACATATTAGATGTTGAAAATGAGAGATACACCTGTTATGAATCAAAATGATATTAAAGATCTTAAACTCTCTCAGCGTGTAATGGATGTTCATGCTGTTATAAAAGTTGCTTTGGTGCTATTAGAGGACACTGGCTGACAAAAGAACGAGGTGAGCGAGCCTTTTGCGGCCGTGCTGATTTTCTGACCTATGATAATAATGCTGGCTAATGCACCGCCTCTGATTTCAAAGAGCTTTTCTGTTCAAAGTGTCGGCTGACCCGGGATCTGTTTCAGAACGGCAGACACTGAAGAGAGAAGGTTTTCACAGGTATTTGGGCTCCTGGCAACAGTGAGTGTTTCATGGACAAGTCGGGACATCTCAGTCCTCCCTGAGTTGCATAATTCATTTAAGTGCAAGGTACATCATTTTCTCTTGCTCAGCTGGTGACCAAAACGCAATTTGAGAGCAGTGGCAGCTCCCTTAATGCAATCATTGTAATCGACTGCAGACACACTGCCCAGGAGGATGAATCTGTTTGCATTTATTGTAAACACCGTCCCTCTGTGAATGTCCAAATAACCTGTGATGTGCAAATTGTTCTGACTAATGAGACTGTCCGGTGGTTTTAAGTCATGATTCATTCATACTGTCTCAAACAGACTTTAAAGGAGTCATATTATA